GGAATCGTGACTTGCTGTTTCTGCTAGATGCTGCAGAAGTAACTCGTATGATGGTGTGCTGGTGTTTAGTGGTTGGTTTGGTTTTTTTTTTCTTTTCCTAAGTGTGAAGAAGCACCATGAGGCAGATGACACCAGTGCTAAAGACCTGACAGCTGTAACCCCTTTGCGATACTCTCAGCGCATTCGGGAAAAGATGTGCAAGCTGTCTGATGCTGTTAAAGATCAAGATCCATGTGTCTCTTCGTCTGAACAGCTGGGAGAACTGGAATCAAAAGCCGCTGCATCAATGGACAAACACAGCAATGTACTCAAAGAAACAAGGGTTGAAGTAGAAGAGTAGAAAGTAGCATTAATGCTACATGGGGGTTAAAGATTGCATCCTTTTTAAGGAAAGTAGGGAGGATGCTTGTTTTTAGCAACTTTGAGAGAAGAACCATCTAAAACTTGTGTGGATGGCTTAAGATGAATTTTGACTGCCTGAGTCACTAAACTTTTGAATTTATAAGTTTCTGCCTTTATCAAAATTGTCGTACATGTGGTCTGGTTTAGTACTTATAAACATCAGTGCCTTCACATTCAGTATTTAATGAAACACATTTAATTAAGGACTAGGTTTAACACTTCATATAACAGTTTGGTTATATTGCTAGTATCTGTGGCTTTCCTGTTGCAATTCCTATAAATTCTTTAGAATTGCATAATCTAACTTTTAGTTTAAGAAACAAATTTAGGCATTCCAATAGGGCAATGTCTACTACAGCAACATTTAGTTTTGAAAACTGAAACCAGCTAGTAAGGTGTACACTAAGTCTAAACTGTTGTGTCCATTTCTGGGGGGTGTTTCAACAAAAATGAGTTCAATCCATTTAGTTACTGGGATTATTCATGATCATTCATCTCCCTTAAATGAGGTCTGATACACTAATTATTATGTGACTGTTCTAATATTAGTTTGCATTAGTCTGTAATGTGGTAGACTTATTAAACTAATAAATGGAGTTGTATTTGTTCTTTATTTATGGGCTTTAAGCTGGAAATTAGTTGTAGAACATGGCTATAGGCCAAAATCATTTTAGTTTGTTTTTAGAAGTGAACTGTCAGACAAGTGCATTATGAAATTTTGCATATTAAGCAGAATCTGAGTGTTTCCATAGCTTCAGTATGCAGAGTTTACACGAACTGTAACTTAAACCTTAGCTAAGCATTCACACTCAGTGTTAAACAGACCTTGGTCCTTATGACTAGCTTGAATCTTCTGTTTACAGAAGGGATGTACTCTTTGCATCTAACAAGAAACCAAACTTTAAGTGTACTACTGCACTAGACTTTCTTCAGAGAACCCTCCTGAAACTGATGAGCAAGTCCAAGCATCTACTTGTAGTCCTAAAAGGAGTAGCACAGGATTGAACATGTCCCAGTCAGCACATGATCTAGGCAGGCACTTCTGGTTCTCTGTTGTGGTGGATTCAACTCTCCTCCATCTTCTGGATCATGTCAAGCATTGGAATGGGCTGCCCAGAGAGGTGGTGGAGTCACCATCCCTGGAGGTCTCAAAAGAGCTGTACATGTAGCACTTTTGGACATGGCTTAGTAGTCATGGTGGTGTTGGGTTGATGGTTGGACTTGATGATATTGGAGGTCTTTTCCAACCTTTATGATTCTATATGCTAACCAGGGCATCCTTGTGATTGCCAGTTCTGCTCTGTCACAGGCAATGACTGGAACTGCATGGAGTCAAGCTCAGGTTGTCTAAAGAGACTTTTGAGGTATTAACAGGCCTTCTACTGAGGTGCTGGGCATGGGGTGTAGTGTTGATTGTTAATAAAAACCGGGTATAAACCCCATTTGCTTGTTCTGAGGAACAAAAGCGGGAAAGCCTCCATAGATGGCCGGGTCGCCATGGCGGCGTAAAGCGC